GGGGTGTTAGCTACATCGAAATGGCTTTGATATAGTCCTCTATTTCTGTGAGATTGTTGAAGAATAGACTGCCGATGACTCCGGGGATGAGGACTGTAGTTGGAGCGACCTAGCATGATGGTGAGGTTAAAGGAGTGGATCACGGCGTAGATGAGATCGAGTAATTGTCTATTAGGACGTTTTGGAATCTGAATAAGATGGAGTAGTGGTGACGATGCTGCGTGAAGGTCCATTCTTCTCCGGACTGTCTACTAGTCTTCGTCCCCAGCATCTCCCCAAGCATCTATGCTTTGGAAGCATGATTGATTGTGGCAGCAAGTAGATATGTCGTGATGTATCATTATCTGCTAGATTCTTACTTGGGATGGAACACGGTAGGTACAGTAATAGCGACTATCTAGATACAAAGACGCAAATACTGCCTGGCTTCTCAATGGATGAATCTTTACTACGAGTAGCACGAGCTGCTTCTCCTTTAGGCCGTTCATATTTCCGGTTTGTAACATCATAATTCATGGATGAATTTCTGTCTATCTTGAGCGCCCGACTCGTCCTCTGCAACACGGTCATAGGATAGCTTCTTTTGACTTCTGGGTACCTTGAAAAACAACCTGAAAATGTAAAAACGCGAGAAACACTTGAACATTAATTGGTATGGTAAACTGTCGTTTATCTGTAATGCTTCTGAATCCGATTCCTTAATTTATCTCCACAGCATAACCGCAACAATTGTTCTTGCAAGATGCCGCTTGGGGTGACCACTGGTCCTTACCATCAGTCCGAAGGGCAAGCTTAAATTAAAGAAACAACAAGCAAAGGCAAAACAACGCTTTAAACTTGAACCTCTGAAATATTTACCTGTTCATATAGCTTCTACACACGTAGAGAAAGAAGCAGGTACCATGAATTAGCTTTGATTTCAGGAGAAAGTTCTGTACTATAATTCATTTGTATACTGTTGTTGACCTAGATACCAGCTGTAGGTAGGAATATATGTCCCTATAAAACTGTGTACAGTCGAACCCCTCTTAACCCATACCCCTTTGTGGATGACCCAGACTATGGGGTATGGGAGGTTATGGGCTATAAGGGGTCAATTTTGGTGCAAAATCACAAGTTGGGAGATGAGCAAAGCTATGGGTTATGGGAGGTTATGGGCTATGAGGAGTATGGGTTAAGAGGGGTTCAATTTTAACTAGAAAACAGAAGAATAAAAATGTGAGGTGGCCTCACTTCGTCCCTAACAACATGGAGTTTGAAATACCAAGAAAGCGATGAGATAACGAAGGAAATGGATGGGAGATGATGCGCTGGGAGCCGTAGGATGAGGGCTAAGGAGCTGGCTGACTGATATACTGACGGATGAGACGACGAGTGTACGACGGGCACGATACAGACGATAGAAACCGAAGGGAAAGGATGAGGAGAATGCTAAAATAGTTGCGGGATCGCAACCGAGATAGCTCGATGATGAGAGCACCTAAAATTACGAAATAAAATCCTGGAGCAACGCAAGAAGGGGGCTTAGACGATGCAAAAAGACCGAAGTTGTTTGGAGTTATCTTCGACGAAAGCATAGCGATTTGGCGAAGAGAACAATTTTCGAAGGCTTGAGCTCCAACGAACCTGAATATATTCTGTAAAAGCGAAGTAACTGACTGGAGTATGTAGCGATTGAGTACCGAGAGTAAGGAGGGAAGTCGAGTACTCTGAAATAATGAAAAAAGAAGCAAAACATATGTCTTCAAGTATATATGAAAGTCCACAGAAAGAAGTAAAGTAAGTAAAGTAGGAATAAAATGTACAAAAACGAAGTAAAACGATCATCGAGCGATTGTAGAACCCAGAGTCGTTCATGGGCCTCGATTCATGCGCCAGAAATGCGGTAATAACTACACCTATCTCAAATAATCCTTTAGATGTCTCAAACAATGCAAAAATACCAATCAAATAGAGAAAAAAAGGTCTATTTTGCGATGGAATGGGTTGTTCCGAGCTCAAATAACATTTCCGATCATTCTGAAGGTTCCTGATGCGTTCCGAACCATTCCAGACGATTCCTAGTCGAAAATAGATATACCAAGCTTGTTTAGAGGTATCGGGACCGAGTTTCCGAGTACAGAGCCAAGTGAGGCTCGTCACTGTGGAACGAGTTGCATTTACACGCGTTTTCGTCCATGTTACCCACCACAGGTTCTAAATACCCTACAGGACCAGGTAGGTTTTAAGTCATTTATAGTGGGCTCCACAACATGTGCTGGTTGGGAACAGATGTAAAATGATTTCGATGTCCAAGAGTAGTTCAGAAAACATGTTATGGGTGTGTCGACCCTCGTTTCCAATACTAGCATGCATAGTGCCCGAACGTACCTGCTGTTGTGCTCTGAGGTATGGGTCCGGTCGAATTGATAGACGTGTTCCGTACCCAGAGACAATTCACGTAACATGCTGGAGATCGTAAGACCTATATACAAAAGCAATTGGCGGCATCGTTTCTAGTAATTTTTCAACTCATGGAGATGCACTCACGTCAGAAATCGTGTAAGGGTAAATCTATTGTACGGTTGTGTGAGAAACTAAAAACTTTCTTGAGGTTTCTCATCAGTTACTAACTGACCAACAGTGGCGATATAATTTAACATATATTGATATAATTCAGAGCATATTGATAATATATCGACGGAATAGGGGTAAATTATATAACGGCAAATATAGAAGCTATATTTTAAATATATCTATGGGACATAAGCCAACTCAGGCTGTGAAAGGGAGCAATGCGAAGAAAAGATTTACATCCTACAACGAATGCTGACACACCATAGCCTTCACCTCATTCACAATTTGCATCACCCTTGTGTAGCCTTCATCCGAAAAGAGATCTAAGTTCCAAAGTTCCGCAGGTGCGACGTCGCTTCCATTGGCCTCGGAGTCCTCGGGGATAAGATGGGGGGATAACAACTTGTTGGTGGATCTATAGGTGTAGAAACGAAGACGTGTCCCCAGTGCACTAGCTCCATACAAGACAGGGAGCTTTATATCATCAGCGAGATCGAAGAAACACATCCTCATTTGTTCATCAGCTGACGCACGGGCTGAGCAGGATTCATAATCGCCTGGGAGCTTGACTTGTATGAAGAATACGGGGTGTGATGATTTGAGAACAAGGAAGGCGTTGGTGAAGTCGACAGGCCACCCGTCATGGGGGCGCCTGAACCAGGCTGACATCAAGTAACCTTCTTCTGCCGGGAAGAGGAAATTGAGAAGGGTGTTGTATGGTCCATAGAAGAGGTACTCGTGGGTGGCCCCAGCTGTAATGATTTCAAATGCATTCTTGATATATGATGGCCAAGGCATTCTTATTTCTGCATACAGTATTGGATGTTGAATGGGAAGTTATTTCGTTTTGAACGGGACAGCCTGACTCCGGGAGGGCTACCGATGAAACCTTGATGAAACCTTGTTCATATAAACGCATTTAAAACTCCGACGGAATTCAGAAGGCTCCGCACCTCCCTCCCGCCGCCCAGGTCTTCAGGATAACTTCAGGATGTGTTGTGCTGTTGCAAAAGCTGAGCTTGTATATTTTTATACGCTCTCTTTACTTTCCTTCTCATAGCCCACCGTTCTCCATCGATAGCTCTTTTCCCCCACCCGTCACTCCCATCACCACCGACAACAATCAAACGCTACAACGGGGAGGGAATCGCGGCCACTTTAGTTCATCAACTCTCAGCTCCCACCTTTCTTTCCTCGTGCGCAGCCCCTTTGCTGAAGAGTACCAGGACGCCGAGGACGCTGGTGAAAAGAACCGGACAGCTCAACTGGAGCTAATTGAAAAGGAGGGATTCAGACATTGGCATTAGAGGGAATGGAGAGGATGGCGTACGATAAGGACGAGGAAGGAGGGCCGGTCTCGCTGACACTAGCACGATTAATCCGCTTGTAGGAAACATGGAAAGGTCAGACTGCGAATTTCCTCTCATTCTCGTTGTTGGGATCGGCTGCATCAGCCCTATTCGTGTCGTCAGCAGCCGGCTCCCGTCTCCGCTTTCTAATATCAAGAACGTCGGCAACGCGAACATCACCTCCATCGACGTGATTCCTTTTTCGGCGCGATCGCTTTCTTCAGCACGGTTGTCACCAGCCCACTTCTTTACACCGTTACTTCCGCCAGCGCCGTCCATTCTTAGCATTTGAACGCAGTCGCTGCCCTTAGCCGGTGGCTGTGTTCAACAACTTCATCCAAGTTCTCGGCATGAGCGTTACCCCTGATATCGTCGCCAGCTTTATCACCCTACTACTACTTAGCACCACCCCGTCCAGCACCGACACCGGTAGTAACATCCCTCACCCACCGACAGGAAGCACCTTCCAGAACACCCCACCAACAGCAGCACCCTCATCATCTTTGTGGCAGCCCTTGTCCAAACTGTTGTGTAACAGACGTTCATCGCCTCTCGCCCTGTCACCTAGATGCACGCTCTCGGAGTTGCTTGGCAGGCTCGTAGTATAAACACTCTCGTTAGACTGGATGGCGGTGTGCACAGGTCGGTCGCCATACTATATACCCCATTCTGGTTGGGTCTTGCTGCGCATTTCAGCTAACTGCTTCGTGAGCTCGTTGTCTTGTGAGATGACCACAACTTATCGCTCCTCGATTTAACGGCATCGCCCTGTCCTGACATATTTGACCATCTCGTTTCGGCTTGTACTATCATGTTGTCTCGACGTGTTTGATATCGTGAAGCACTTGCGAGTAATCGTCCTAAAGGGGGTACAAGCTCCTAGAATCCCTTAATCTTGGCATCGGGGCCGCGCGATGTTGGCCGACAGCTCAAGTTTGTCCACAGCATTTTGGCGGATAAGGAAATCCTTCTTATCTCGCGCTGTCTCTGATCTCTCTCGCCTTTCCGTATCTTATTTTCGTGACGAACCCAGCCATTTACGACTCTTTCATCTTGCCTCTAGCTCTGGGAACGGCATGGCTCAGGAAAACTGGCGGCGCTATAGCCAAGTAGTTACGGTGACAGATTCAGGTTGGCAATAATTGCTTTTGATGATATCTGTTCTTCTTTGAGGGCGCAGGTTCAAATCCTGCTGGGGTTGCTAAGGAAATCTTCGATGAGTGTCTTCTTCATCTGAGTTTGGAAGCATATCCTTTTCGCCAGTAAACTTTTGATCCAGAGTTTTTCAAGTTCATAATTTACATCATAAAAGTTCCTTATTTCCAACTAACGCAAATTCAAATAACCTTCTTCACAAATTTATACATCTCTTCCATCGTACACTTCTCGTCTTTATCGAACCCATGATCCAGCCCAGGTCGTTCGTCATATACGACCTCGGCGCCTACCTTGGCATATGCAGAAACGACGTCCACAGCTTGCGAATGCGGAACTTTAGTATCAGCGGTGCCATGCACGATGTAGGTAGGCGGGAGGGGGAGTGAAAGGTTGCGTGCAATTGAAAATGCGGATGCTGGGATGGAAGACGAAGGAGGGAGGAGAAGGGATGGGAGGATACCTCTGTTGAATGACGCTTAGCAAAAGAAAGGAGAGGAGGTAAGGAAGCGCGTACTCTTGGACCATGTAATGATAGAAAATACTCCTAGGGTCGTCCAATGCGCTCGCACATGTCTTCTTGGCGTTCGGATCCAAATACGCTTCGACCTCTTTCTTTTCAATAACCCTATCTATATAAACCAGCGGTTTCTGGCCCTTCCAAAACGCATCCTCCATATCCGTTATCGGGTATAACGAAGCAATACCTTTGATCCCCTGGCCATTGCCACCTTGTACAGCGCGTTTTGGCGGCGCCAATCCACATGCTTCGTACCCCACTCCAGTGCCTGTGAAGAGCGCAAGCCACCCGCCGGCGGAGCTCCCGCTTACCACGATACGAGTGGTGTCGACGCGATTAGACGTAGCTGAGGTGAATTGGGGGGTAGATAAGAAGGAAAGGGCATGAGCACAGTCGGAGAGGATTTCGGGGAGACGGGTTTGAGGTGCGAGGCGGTAATCTGGTGAGACAATGCAGAGATTATGGACTGACGGGGCGGAGAGCATATGTGGTGAGAGGCCTAGAAGAAGGCGTTAGAGAATAGCAGAGTGATATGATGAGATATGAACCTTTTCGCGTTCCCTATCCGTGAGTAGAGCTGTTAGAATTCGGTCGAGGAACGAGAAATAGATTATACTTGAAGTAATCCACCCCCTAGATTAAGCATATCATCAGCACTCCCGAAAATCTTAACTAAATTCTTGTTTATGTACCATGCCACCACAGAAGAACGGGCGCTTTGTCCTTTTCACTTGCATTCTCGGGGATGTAGACGTCCATTTTGATATCGATGCCGTCAACTTGCTTAAACGTGATCTCGACAGGCTCAGCTTGGGTAGCCATCTTTGTTTGAAATCACTAGATGCAGGGGGACTCGAGGGCGCCCAGATAGTGAAAAGACGGTGCGACAGATGTCCATTAGTTATATGTGATTCTCCTTCATCGGTGGGAAATCCTCGCATATGGGGCAGAATGTACACACAGGACTACCATAGCGGCTTTCCGAGTGGAATATGTATGGGTGAGAAATGGTCATGTGGCCTCCTAAAGATATAAGCCTCCAGACGAGTTGCTGCTTTCATGATCTATCTTGATCACGTTCATCTTCCGCAAGTCACCCCATAGATGTCGGGGAGAATGTGTTGAACAGGAATGTGCTCTTATAGATTTAATTTCTTAACGATTGAGCGGAGGCGAATTGATTTAAAATTTACCAGAAGCTGTCCATTCTGTCTGAATTCAAAATTGTCATTTTGGCAGCTCATGGTGTTAAAATAAGCGACGTAACGTTTGGCCACGGTGAGCTCGTGAGGCAAACGGATAGTGTACAATCTCGAATGTACACCACTTATATACAAAATATCCACATAATTGAGATATATACATCAACGAGACTCAGCCACAAAAATGCAAATATGACTGCGGGCATGGTCTGGATCGCGTTCACTCGCAAATCTTAATTCTAATATTCCAACACATGGAGTTGGGGAAGTTGCCGAGAGCTCAGCCAATCATATACTCGTGCCCACAAAAAGTAACCGGAATCACGTGATTATACACGTCTGAGCACCTCTTCTCCTCGACAAAAATTGTGAATTACAAAATAAGTATGCATCTTCAAGAGCTCAAATTTTAACACGAGAGACTCATTAACAATAGAGTGTTTAATATGTATTTATTAGTGCATATGACTATTATTTGCATCCGAAATTGCCTGAAGTCTCTCACCCACACTATTTATATACTTGACTATATCAGCAGCTAGTAATGACTTTCACACAGTTTCAACTGCTGCTATAAGCTGCTTGAAAGTCATCAAACGATGTTGAATACAAAATATGTGCTCTTTCAGCTCATACAAAACAGTTTTAGTTGGGTTATTGTCAGAGGAAGATAGGGTCCAGATGGGAAAGGTTAGGGGGTGAACATGAACAGTATATTTTGCAGGTTCTTGAGCTTCATTTGAGCTGTTTTTTAGTGCAGATTGAACATGCTTGTCATACAGCCATAATACAACAAAATGGGGCCCTGATACATTGCAGCAGTGCCATTTTTAAGTGGCTCTTGAGCAAAAGCATTCCTGTCATGGATCACCCTCCATCTTCCCCCAATCTTAGCTCCACTGGAACTGTTTGGCATGAGCTAAAAAAGCTCATATTTGGTCTTTATCTTCCTCTAATGACTCTCAAGTAGCTTATAGCAGCAGTTAAAACTGCGTGGAAGTCATTACTAGTTGCTGATATAGTCAAGTATATAAATAGTGTGGGTGAGAAACTTCAGGCAATTTCGGATGCAAATAATAGTCATATGCACTAATAAATACATATTAAACACTCTATTGTTAATGAGTCTCTCGTGTTAAAATTTGAGCTCTTGAAGTTGCATACTTATTTTGTAATTCACAATTTTTGTCGAGGAGAAGAGGTGCTCAGGCGTGTATAATCACGTGATTCCGGTTACTTTTTGTGGGCACGAGTATATATATACATGTTTGGCAGTGACCAAGGCCCGAGCCCGAATAAAGTAACTTGGATTTTCACTTGGCTTCACTTGTTCCCTGCCAAAAACTCCGCTCACTTGTTCCCACGGTGCGACAATTTCACTTGCCTGCTCACTTGCACTTGCCCCGGTAACAAAATGGTCTGCTAGTGTACTATCGAGCTCCCCGCCGCTACCATTCATATTTTCGGATAAAATCTTGAATGAATGTATATTAAAACACTCTTAGATATTATGTACTAAATAACTATTTAGTATATCTTAGACATATCACTGCTTGTCGTCATAAAGTAGTTTTATCCATGTTTTCAATGGTCTTTGGCAATAAATGATCTAAAATGCGTTCAATCTGTGAAATAAATATCTTCCTCCAGTTAATGAAAGAAGTATATTCATCCTGCTTCATTTCCCCAGTGATTATCATGTATATTAACTTTGCACCACTGAAGTTGCCAAATCAAGCATCCTTGAAGTAAACATATTAGCTAGAGGTAATTTTAATGGGGGCAAAAATTTAGCTATATAATTCACATTTTAAAAGCAGTTTGGACTATATATGGCCATGTCAACCATGCTGTTACTGAATAACATGGTGTAACTCAGTGACTTTGAGTCAAGCTTTTTTGAGTCAAGCTTTGTATCGCTTTTACAAGTCATTTCGGAGCTCTTAGGATAATGAGCAGATATATCATTATTTTCATGATTTCTTCAAAGAGAGTAGAAGAGTTACTGAGCCCGTCTATTATTGCTCTATTCAGTTCAAGAATTAACGAAGTCATCTACAACATCATCTTATCAAATTTTGCAATTGGGATAATAGCAAGGCTTGAGAAAGAGTAAGATCAGTCAGGGTGGATGGCAGAATTTGCATTGAACTTGCTTATAAGTTTACTTCTCTCACTTTGAACGCGCTTGATGTTATAAAATTAGTCTCACTGACAGTGACAAATTCACTTGCCAAGTCCACTTGGTACTACTCAATGTCGTCTTAACAAATTTTGCAATTGGGATAACTGCAAGACTTGAGAAAGAGTAAGATCAGTCAGGATGAATGGTAGAGTTTGCATTGAACTTGCTTATAAGTTTACTTCTCTCACTTTGGATGCACTGGATGTTATAAAATCGGTCTCACTTACAGTGACAAATTCACTTGCCAAGTTCACTTGCCAAGTTCACTTGGCATCACTGACAGCGACAAATTCGCTTGTCAGCTAACTTGGACTCACTTGCTATGATAAATTTCACTTGAAAGTTAACTTGGTTGCACTTGCCGAATAAAATTCACTTGCAATTGCAAATTAACCTGTGTAAGTTGGCTCATTTCATCTCTCTTGGCATCAGACTTGAGTTATTAGTAGTCTAAGTACGTCAAAATTACATATTGTGTACTAACTCTATAACTACGGTGTATATTCTTATATATGCCATGTAGGCCTATAATTATGCAGTTAATAAATCATACACTCTTGCGGCAATATCCTTCCTCAAAAATTGGCATACCAAATCAGTATTGTTGAGAGTGGAAGTGTTGTTAGACACACCAACCATTTATGATTTATTTGTTCCTATATGACAATTACTATGTTTTGCTACTTACTTACTATCTACCTTGCATGGGAGGGAGAAGAAGAGTGTATGACGGCTTGTAGCTCAACTATAACTCATTCTGTTCAGTTAAGGGTTGTATGACACACATGCAATTATGTCTAATTTACGTCTTAATGATTATTATCTAATCTACGTGACCAGCTACTAGGAACATCCTCCAGGTTCATTTAGATAGTAAAATATTGTTCACTAGAGAATTTTGTGATGTTTTAAATGAGTAACTTGCCGCAAGTGAAAAGTCAAGTGAAATTGTCGGGCCGAATGATGGGCCGCGTGTAGCAGCGGCGCGATCAACCCAAATTAGACATGACATTGATCAGACGCGTCGTGGGGTACTATTACATGTTATTATTGACAGGTATAGCGGTTTATTAGTCGGCATTGTCCTCAAGTGAAGGACGACATATTAACTTGGGCAAGTGAGCAAAGTTACTTTGTCT